TCTAAATTACTTGATTTTATTTGTATAATAAATTTGAGTTATTTTATGGACAACATGAGGTTACTCTTATGAAAAAATGAGGTTACTCATGCATATAAATGAAGATTACTCTTATAAACTAATGCCCTGTTCTCTTCACCCTAAAAAAATAATATTAAGTAAAAATAATTTCAGTTTAGTAAAAATAAGTTCAGTTCAGTAAAATTAATTTCAGTTCAGCAAAATTAAGGTGAAGAGAACGGAGCCTAATATCGTCACACTGTGTAACTAGCCACATACAAGATTTACCCATTAAAGTAAGATTTGTCGTCAAAATTCATGTTTACAAAATCATTACTCTTCTTAGTCCTAAAAGTATGTGCTTCTTATTTAACATACTAGGTTAGGTCCCGTGCCACGCACGGTAATTTTCAATAATTATAATTATAAATTATTCAAAGAAATAACAAAATTATCATACGTTGATTTGATATTTACATTTCATTGTTTAAGCATGGAACTTCTATTACACAATCAAAAAAATATATAATCTTGTTGCAATACATAGTACATAATAAAATATGTATGTGTTTTCTATTAAAAAAATAGTCCATGTCACAAATTAGATTAAGAATATTTTTTTTTTATTTATTTGTGTATGTTTATAATTGTTAATAAGATTTTTTTAAAAGATACATCAAATCTTTTTAATGTACATAATTATTACTTTATATAAACAAGATATTTATTAAAAAAAAAACTGAGGACATACCAAGAGATGACACGTGTCATTGCTGGTGTGTCTTTTAGTATATAACTAGCCTTTTGGCCCGTGCAATACACGACTTGTTCATAGAAAATTGCATTAAGAGATAAGTGAGGAAATACCAATATATAATTATGAGTGTAATATGTAAATGAAAACATAATTAAAGAAATAAAAATTTTGGGACTTTAATTTGAAATGAGACTTAATAGAAAGAAAATGGAGGGACTAAAATCAAAGAGAGAAAATAAAAAGGTTGAATTAAAGAGGGGAGATGAACATGAAGTGTTTAATGAAAGAGTTAAGAAAAATTGTATAATTAAAAATAAAAAATGTAAAACGACATGTGGCACATTGAGTTGAAGAAGAAGATAGGGAAGTGTAATAGAATGATGACATGTCTTTTTTGGTTTGCTTTTTTAAATACTAAGGATAGATTATTGATGTTGACTATTTAGAGATTATCTACGGAGTATGAGTAGTCGAGTATTATGTGATCAGTTTGTTATTATTTCCGTTTTTTTTTTTTTTTGAAAAATAAAAATTATCTAAATTAATTAACTTTTGTTTATTCCCATAATATACAGATTGGTGCAACTAACAGTGTTCCTAAATATTATACCTAAATGATTTCGGTCTCACAATTTAAAGAATTATGATATCCAAGACTATATGCAAAAGTTTATGAGAAAAAAAACGAGAATAAAAAGAGTGGGACAACAAGTGAACAAAGGTAAACAATATTCCGTTCCTTTCACAAAAAATACAAAATATCATAAAAAAAAAAAGTCAATGATTGTACGGAGTATTAAATTACATAGTATTTGCATATTTAAAAAAAAAATAGTAAGAAGAAAGAAACTTTATGAAGCCTTTTATTTCAAAAAAAAAAAAAAAAAAAAAAACATTAGGAAGCCTTTTGAAAGACACGGTTTTTCTTTTTCTTTAAGAGGATTTGGCTCCTTAAAAAGATCGGGTTTTCTTCTCTCTTTGAGGAAGGATTTGCCTTTTTATTTCATGGATTACCATAGAGTTATTTCATGAGTAAACTTTTGTACGGAATTGAAAAAAAGATTAATGTTTCGACAACAATCTAACAAATTAGACGGAAAATTTTTCTGCACTACTACAACAAACCGATTGACCCCCTCGCAGAAGATGACTGTAAATCATAGTGATATGAAAGAGGGTATAAAAATGTACGATTTGCAAAAACGATCGTAACTTTACTTATAGAATGTTTTTATTTGATTTAATTATTATACATTTGTTAGATCGATCTAAATCTCTTTGTAGATGTCGTATGACTTATTTATGAATCAATTTTATTTCCAAAGAAAAAAAAATAGGAAACCTTTCTCACAACGGGAATTCCTAATGTAACAGAGTATATGCATGTGATATTGTTATATATATTTTTTTTATACACCCATACTCCGTATAAAGTTACCCGTATTATTATTTGTCTTGACTCTTCAATCGTATCTTCACACTTAATGTGAATAGTACAAAACGTGATGCACGAGTACTAGATCAGTAGTTTATTTCATTATCATATTAAACCAAAATAATAATGGAATGCATTATACGTGCTGTTGCCTGCAAGGTTCCATCATTGTTCACATCAAAAAATAATTTAAAAAGTTCCATTACCATTGTTTGATTTTGTTTCCCATCGGTTTTTAAAAAATATTCTATCATTGTTCATTTGTTCCCACCAACTCACAAAGATATGTTCACAAGAAAGAAAAAAAAAAAAAAAAAAAAATTCAAAACAAGGTGTTTAAATGGTTACTAGATCATTTTTCCTGAATGGTAGGTGTTTGACAATAAATACATAAATTTAGTGATTTCGTAACATCTAAAATTATAGTAAAAGTGGATCGAACCAAGTAGATTTATTTGGCTTAATGGTAAGAGCTTATCATTTTGAGTTTTTGACCTTGTGTGTTGAAGGTCAATGGGGATTTTCATGGGAATTGCCAGAGTCTTTTTTACCTTTCCCACTCGCTCTCAACAATTATGAGTTCATGACATATAAAGTTGTACTGTACTAGTTTATTAAGTGAGAAATATAAACAGAGTCTGTTCTCTTTAGATGATTTTCAATTCAGTTCAATTCTTAATTTTGTTCTCTTATAAAATATTCAATTTATTTCATTTCAGTTCAATTCAGCTCAATTTAGTCGATCAGAACAGTTCCAAAGTGTTGATTTGTTGAGACCATTATTTTGAGCTTAAATGAAATAAAATTATGAAATCAAGATCAATCAATAAAATGTAATTACATTGAAGCAATGCCAAAGTAGATATTTATTTTTGGTTTCAAAAAAAAAAAAAAAAAAAATTTGTTTAACGCAATATTGTGAAGTCTCATTCTAACAAACTTAGCAATCAGCAAGGGACAATAATAACTATAACTTGACAATGTTTAAAATCACCCCTTAACACACAACAACAAACACTAGGGCCTTTGTGTAGTGTGATGATTATCTTTAATTTAGGACTTGTTCGTATTTATTGAAAAGAGATGAATTGAACCGAATTGAACTAATTGAAACTTAACTAAAATGAATAGTTTATGAGAGAAGGAAATTAGGAGCTGAGCTAAACTGAACTGAATTGATTGGAGGTGAAATAAACTAAACTAAACTAAACTAAATTGATTGGAGCTGGACTAAAATTAAACCGAGGTGAACATGCCCTATATTAAAGTTTTAAATACAATAAAGGTTTTACTTTTATTGATCGACAATGAACTATAAGTCTATAATTTATAGGCCTTTAATACTACGACCTCTCAACCGATCGATGAGATGATGGTTTACCAAATACCGAGTATAAATTCCCTCCAAAAAAAAAAAAAAAAAACCACCGAGTAAATTCTCACTGGTAGCCTTGTGTTTTTGCTTTTTCTCAATGGTAGCCAATTTTTTTTCCAGTTCTCAATGGTAGCCTCAAACTTTTAAAAAGTTACAAACGTAACCTTATTGTTACAAAAACGTTAGTTGACCGTTAACTTTTAAAAGTTACATTAATGATTTTGTGGTTACATTTAAATTTAGTCAGTAATTAAAACTCCCACCACCAACCCTCATTTAACTCGAAAATCTTTTCTTTCTCTTTCACTCATCTCATTCATCTTCTACCTTGGTTCTGCGTGAGGATTGCTATTTCTTGGAAGTTCTTTGGGGAAGGACTTCGGCAATTAAGAAGCGATTTTCTTATCCTTTGTTTGGAAAACGCAAGGTATGTACAATTATTCCTTCTTATTTTGTATAATTTTGGTGTTTGATGTTGCATGAGTTGTGAAATGGTTAAATCAAGTGAAATCGAAAAAATTAGGGTTTTTTGCTGAATTACGTAGTTGTATGTTGTTATATGTATAAATTGTATGTTTTTTTTTGTTTGGGTTTTGCTGTTTGGGTTTATTTTGGGTAAAATTGCATGAAATGCGCAAGGTTGTATGTGTTTAGGGGTAAAATTACATGCGTTATGAGAAAGCTTGTATCTTGCTTTTGTAGATCATCTGTATTCTTTTTTTAAAAAAAAATTTCATACTTAATTGTTGCAGAATGGATTATCCAGTGGTGCTTAAGTTTCAATATAAGCATACTGATGTTGAAGTTATTATAGATGACATTGATAAGGCTTCTCTGATTGATGTGATCGTAGACTATTTGGAAATATGTAGGATAGAGAAATTGGAAACACCTAGATACCCTAGGTTTGAGTATTGTTGGAAGATGAGACAATATGAGATTAGGAATGATTTTGAATTCATGGAAATGTTTGAGAGGCTACCTGGTAAAACTCTGATTTATATTTGGGTTGATAATGGTGAGTGTGAAACAGATATTGCACAAGCTGCATTTAATTTAAGAACTAGTAGGTTAGCAAAACAACTACATGAACAACGGGTAGAGGAAGGAAGAAAAGCTGTCAATGAACCTAATCAACATAGGAAAGTAGTAGTATCTGGACTAAAGGAACCACCAGTTAGGTATGTGCTTGGAGGAGGTGGAGATAAGGACAAAGCAATGGAATTAGTACCTTTGAACAGTACAATGCAGGCTAGGGAAAATCAAATTTTGCATCAGCAATTAAGTGATATGCAGATTGACCCTGACATGACAATGGCTGACATAGAATTAGAAAAAGAGATGTATAGGGACTCTTGCAGAGGAAAAGGTAGAGGAAGTAGAGGGAGAGGAAGAGGGGGGGGGGGGAGGGAGAGGTAGAGGTAGCAGAGGGGGCAGAGGGAGAGGAGGCAGAGGGAGGGGTAAAAGTACTGGGTACACTTTTCAGTAGTGGTTGGGTATGGACAATCCTGGGGTTCAAACTCAAACCCAAATGCCTCCTGCAAATCACATCCCCAACACTGAATTACACACACCCCCAGTTCATGTGGTGAGGAGGAGCCCAAGAAAACAAGGAAAGAAAGCCCCAACCCCTGTTCCAGAAAATGCTGACCAATCACCAGTAGCTGAAATTCAACCCAATGATACTGCACACCTAAACCAACCCCCTCTTCCCAATGACCATGCTGACATTCAAACACAAGAAAACCCCATTGCACCTTCTTTTAATCATACTCCATTCAACCCTACACCTGAAATAGGGGAGCAAGGAAATACATCAGGGTCAACTAGGTCTTCCCAAGCTTTCACTACTATTAAGAGGAAGATTCCTCTTACAACAGCTAGGAGGAAAGGGATAGTAATAGAGAATTCAGTCAGTGAGGGGAGCAACAGTCTCAGTCAAGGGGTTGGGAGTAGAAGGAGAAGGGAGGTCACTGTCAGTTTAGGTGATGACACCCTGATAGGGTTTGAAGATGATGATGAAGATGATTACATCCCTGATGATGATGTGGGAGTGTTGATGGATGATGATGATGATGATGATGATGATGAGAGTGTTGATGATGAGGATGATGAAGAAGAGATGGATGGGGCTGTTGCAATATATGACAATTTTGATCCTTTCACTGATGAGGTGTTTGATGATGGCAAAGATGATGACAATTATTTCATCAACTTATATAGGAATGGTGAGCTTTACAAAGATGCAGAATTTGGCAAGATTGTCCTTAAACCTTTGCTGTTATTTACTGATAAGCAACATGTGAGGGATGTGGTGAGGGATTATTGTATTCAAAGTGGATTTTCAGTCATAGTTGAGAGGGCAACAAATAGCAGGTACACTGTCAAGTGTAGTGCAATGGGGTGTGAGTGGAGACTACACTCATCTCAGTTACCTGATGGAATTACATGGGCAATTAAGTCCATAAAAAATTCTGAACACACTTGTTCTGGGTTAGATGTGAATAACCCAATGGTGAACTGTGCATGGGCTACAAGGGTGCTGATGGAAGATGTGAGGGCCAACAATGATATATCAGCAAAGTCCCTAAATGCTATACTTTTCCAGAGGTATGGTGTTCAAATGGCCCAGAGTACACTTTATAGGGTGAGAACACATGCTTTAAATGAGATTCATGGGTCTCATGATGAAAGCTATGCCTTACTTCCCAAATACTGTGAGATGATAAAGAGCAGAAACCAAGGATCTGCTGCTCATTGTGCATGGGTTGAGCTAGCAGAACAGCCTGAGAAGCCACTAGTGTTCAAAAGCATTTTTGTTGCATTCAAAGGTGTCACAGATGGTTTGAAAGGGTGTAGGGGATTGATAGGTGTTGATGGTGCACACCTTAAGGGGAATCATGGAGGTGTTCTGCTCTCAGCTGTAGCCTTGGATGGGAACAATGAGTTGTTCCCATTTGCTTGGGCAATTGTAACTGCTGAAGACTCAGACAGCTGGATGTTCTTTGTCTGGCATTTGAAAAACCTGTTGCAAGGCTTGGGAAGGGGAGACAGTTGGTGCATAATTTCAGATAGGCAAAAGGTGAGCTTGTAGTGCTTTTCAGAAGTTATTTTTTGTTTATAATAATAGCTTGTTACACACTTAACCCGACTAAGCCATCATTTGCAGGGAATTGATGTGGCATTGACTGAGTGTTGGTCAGAAGTTGATAGGAGGTACTGTTGCAAGCACCTTTGTGCAAATTGGAAGAAATCTTTCCCAGGGCCATTGTTATTCTCTTTGTTTTGGTTGACTGTTGGGGCAAATTCAGAATTCACTTTTAGGAAAGCAATGGAAAAAATGCAGAAGGTTAACCCAGCTGGAAGAATTTGGTTTTCAAAGTTAGGTGAACAAAAGAGGTGGACCAAACACAAATTCAACCCTGAATTGAAGTGTGATGTCAATAAATCTAATTTTGTAGAGAGCTTTAATGCCACTCTAGGGATAGACAGATGCAGGCCTGTCCTTACATTACTTGAAGGTATTGCATTATACATCAAATTACATCACTTGACTTATTGTTATGTATGTTTAACAATGATTGTCATGATTGTAGGCATAAGAAGAAACACAATGGTTAGGATAGCCACAAGGAGACAAGTATGTGAGACTTGGGAGAGGCAGGACATTTGCCCTAACATTGTCAGAAGGATTCAACAGCTCTGTCAAGAGAGTAGGACTTGCATACCATACATGTGTGGTGAAGGAGAGTATGAGGTAATGGATGGTAAGTCTACCCTTCTAGTGAGCCTAAACAAACACACTTGTTTGTGTAATGTCTGGCAGCTAACTGGAATACCATGTAAGCATGGTATTAGGGCCATAATTCATGCAAGGTTAGACCCCCACTCATTTGTAAGTGAGTGGTATTCTGTGAGCAAGTACAGAGAAGCATATAGCTCTGGTATTAGATCTATACCAGATGTAGAACAGTGGCCAGACATCAACATGCCAGCAATTAAGCCACCAACCATGAAAAGGGCCATAGGGAGACCAAGTAGGGAGAGAAAAAGGGCTGATGATGAAGATAGGAAGGGCAAAAGGGCTAAGACAATCAGATGCAGTAAGTGCAATGCATTTGGCCACAATCAATTGACTTGCAAAGGAGGGTTGACAGCAAAGCAAAAGAATAAGCAAAAAAAGCAACAGCACAAAGAGCAGCTTGCAACAACTTCTCAACCACTAACAAGAGGAAGGTCAAGATCTGTTGGGCCATTAGCTGCTTCCCAGCCTTTTTGATTCCCACTCAAGTTCACATATATGTGATGTTTCTGTTTTAAAGTGAAAACAATTAGCTTTTAAGTCCTAGTTATGTGTATGACATTATTACTGTGTTTTTACTTTGTACTTTAGTGGATAGCAGTTGCACCTTTGCATCTTCGTCCATTTTTCAGCCATTGACACCAAACTGAAGTTTGCAGGAGAGAGAAAGTGTTTGGTGAGAGAGAGAGAGAGATACAGAGAAATAGAGAAACAGGGGATATGAATGGGGTTTTATAAAAGAGGGAAATATTTTTTTTGGAGGGAAACTTTGGAGCCAAAAATATGGGCAATTTAACCTCAGTACATATATGTAACCGTAACTTTTAAAAGTTAACGGCCAACTAACGTTTTTGTAACAATAAGGTTACGTTTGTAACTTTTTAAAAGTTTGAGGCTACCATTGAGAACTGGAAAAAAAATTGGCTACCATTGAGAAAAAGCAAAAACACAAGGCTACCAGTGAGAATTTCCCTTAAATAATTGTAAGACCTAACAAAAAAAAAACGAGTTTAACGTGCTCCCTCACTTATGAATTATATGACCCAACATTGGCATAATTGTCTATATTTAACCAAACATTTGATTAAATGCATACTATTATTGCTTTATTTCTTTCTTTCTTTTTTTTTTAATCATGCATACTATATTACGGAGTACTTTATTTCTTTCTTTCTTTTTTAAACATAAACATGCATACTATTATTACTTTAGTACTACTACGTGAATATATGATGATTTTGTAATCTTCCTTAACCCCACTCCACATGTGCTGCATGCTGCTTCCCTTTGAAGTTCCTAACTTCTCTTATCCCTTCAATAATTGAATTAGTTAGGGATTAATCAATGCAAAGTGGACTCATCACCATCATCTTTAGCTACTCCAAACCTACCTCTACCTTGATTGGCAAGTATAATAACTACTCCGTAACTTAAAAGATACGGATTAGTGTATTATTATGTTTGATTGTATGTTTTACACAAACGTAAGAAATAAAGGGTTAAAAACATTATGAAAGAATAAGGGAGAAAAAATTATGAGATTCGTTCTCTTCTCAGTGAAATATATTTCTTTTCTCCCATGTACCAAGACAATAATGAAAATTAAATTGCAATTATAACTAATTATACTAATACTACAATGTCCAACTACTTGAAATTAAATGGCTGATTGATTAGCATTCCATTTTGTTGTCCAATTGGCTTGTTGGTTGATATGTCGAATAATTCAGTTGTGTTTTGAAATTTAATCCAATCCGCGAGAATCAATAGAAAAGACAAATCCCTTATGTAACTTAATTAGGGCGTGGTTGTTTGTTTAAGTATACGAATATATACGTAGTATAATGTTATTCTATGAAGTTATTTTTCCCATGTAATAATCTTATTTGTTATTAGGAAGTTTATAAACTTGTTTGGTTAACCATTTTCAAGAGAGCTTATAGGATATGAAAAGGCAAATAACTTCATATTGCCCCCTCTCTATAGTTTATAAGAGCTTTAGATACTTAAATAATTTGCTTGCATGTGGTGATAGAGAAGTGACATTGCTCATCCTTTTAATGGGCTTCTCCATATATCTCCTCCCTAATCTCCCTTCGAGTGAGTCAACTAAGTCTCCTTTTTTTTTTTTTTTTTTGAGGGGAACTAAGTCCCTTCTTCTTACCGTGCAAAAAAAAAAAAAAAAAAAAAAAAGAATTATTAGAACATATATTCAATGCACATTATGGAGAGGTACACCCGAAGTCATTTGTTCATTCAACCAACAAATGATTAAAAACAGTATTTGCTTATTTGTTGATTAAATAAGCAAATAACCTCGGATATACGATACACCCGCGTGTATGTAACAAATTCTATACATTATGAGTATACATTTGTGTATTCATAAGTTATTGAGAAAAATACAAAATTATGTAATCATTCTAAGTAGGAAAATTTTATAGCATATATTCAATATATGGACCACCAAATACTACGTATTATGAGTTCATGACAGCTCACCTACTGCCTTGCATTTTGAATACTTGATTTAATTAAAAATAAATAAAGAAATAGTGCCTGCATAATTCTATTAGTGTCTCATTCTAGCTGTCGTGTTTTCCTCCTTATTTAAGACATGATTTCAGGGTCAACGAGAAGATAATCTATTTTATGCTTTACAAAAGCATGCTTAACATCAATTCATTATTGAAAGCATCAAAGATAAAACTAGAAAGAGATACAACATTACAACATCACAAGTTCGTTGTAGATCAAATGACGGATCGGAGCATGATAAAATTTTGACCAATAATATTATTCAGAAATAAAAATCACTTCGCATGTATTTATTTATTTAATTAATATTTTAACTAAGGATCTAATTTATTAAACTGAGTTGAAATGAATTGAATATTTTATGAGAGATGGAAATTAGAAACTGAACTGAACTAAACCGATTGGAGCTGAACTGAATTGAAATGAAAATAAGGTGAATTGAAGAGAACATGCCCTAAGGGTGTTTAAAAATCAGTTAGAACCGAAGCTGACATGACCCGTTGACCGACCTTGGACCAGACATAACTGAATTAATTGGCCCTATCTCTGGGTTGAGAAATTTATTTTTCTGGTCTTCTGTCTGGTCCAGTCCAAAACCCTATAAAGATGATCGGATCGATTTTTTTTTGTTTAAAACTAATTATCCTAATAAGCTTTGAAAACTTTAATTGTAAAAAAAGTTAAAATATTTTTTATTTTTAATTTTTAATTTTTTTTTCAAGTTTTCCATAAAAATATTAAAAATTTAGATTTTTTTTTAAATTCTAAAATCAGTCTAAAGTTTTTTCTAAAATTCTAAAATCCGTCCAAAGCGATACGGTCTGAATTTTGGACCAATTTTTCGACCCAGTTCAGATTCGGTCCCAACTTAATCGGTTTAATTTTCAATTCTTGAAATTCAAATTTTCGAACTTTGGTCTTGTCCAAATTAATCCTAATTTTAACTTCTGTAGTACATATGGAGAAGTTAATGTGAGATACTAATAATTCTACTCCCTCTTTTTCAAAAGATGGGGTGAATACGACCTAAAATTTATCCCTGCTCCATCACTCATAGTGAGTATGGTTTTTATCCCCATCTTCGCCCTACTACCTTCCAATCGGGACCCATTCCCGCTTTAGATAAGCATAGATGAAGCCTATCTCTTACTTGATCCACCTCACTATAGCCCTATTGATATTTCTCAATGATAAACTTTTAAATAAATCGGATGTACAATAAAATATTGTACATCTGTTATAAAGTTACTCTAAAATGAGCAAAATTACCCTAACATAAATAAAATTTATAAACTGCTTACGCTTTATTGATAAAAGTTACTCAAAAAATTATATAAGTGACCTTAAATTTGATAAAAGCGACCCTTAATATACAATAATCATATATATACAAAAGCTACTCCTTTTCAATAACCAGGTGCCAACAAAGTGGGAACCATTGCACCTTATGTCCCTATTGATATTTTTCAATTAAATTACTTGGTGGCAACAAAGTGGGAACTATTACACTAAAGAATTAATTATCTATCAGTAATGAAAGTACGAAAAGGATAGGTTGTGAAATGTAAATTTGTGATCTCATAATAATAGTCATAACCGAAGATAAAACCATTAAAATAAAAAATTAAAACGTGCCATTTCTGTTACAACTACTCGTACATTATTACATCCAAAAATCCCATAATACCAAAACCTTCTTCTCCGAAAAAAAATCATCAAAAATGGCGACTTTAATAGTCCCAGAAATTGTTCCTTCTCCAATCCAGGATTCTGAGACCCTCAAACAAGCTTTTCAAGGTCATCTCCTTCTCTTTCTCTCTCCTTTGACCCTCATTTTTCATTGATTTTTTTTTTTTTGATTTAATCTGAAAAATGGATGAAATGGGTAATTGATTGAAAGTGCAGGTTGGGGAACAGATGAAAAAGCAGTAATAAGAGTATTGGGTCAGAGAAATGCAGGTCAAAGGAAGAAGATTACTCAAGCTTATCAACAGCTTTACAATGAATCTCTCTTTGATAGTCTTCAATCTGAACTTTCTGGTGACTTTCTGGTATTTTTTTCCTCTAATTTTATGTCTTTAATTTCTTTATTTATTTAATTATTATGGTTGTATGTTAAATTATGGTTTTTAAAGGGCCCTTTAGTAATTTAAGCAAGGATGAACTATTAAAATCTAAAAACTTTGACGCTAAAAAAAAAAAAAAAATCTAAAAACTTTGACAGTAAATTTTCATTACTCCGTAATACTTCCTTTGTTAAATGATGAAATGTCTCTCAATTACGTTTGTCAATGCATAATTTTAATCGTTAACTAGATTTTTGGTCCGAAACCGATACTCTCAAAAGAGGGTTATTAGATAAACAAGTTTTATTCATATACCACTTTTAGTTATTTTATCCTATGTCTCGGACGTTCATTAGCTTTTGCCTACTTATAAAATCCATTTTCCTTTGTTATTGTACCTTTTGAATTGTTTTGGTTAACTATAACATGTGTTATGACATATCCAAATCCATTGAAAATAGAGAGGATGACGGGATATATGAACTTGTTTAGCCTAATAAGATCCCACTTGATTAATTTTTGAAGAAAAGTTTGCCATTTTTCAAAATATGACCACAACTGTCCAAATCTTTAATTCGAAATTTAAAACAGATGCATTCTAGTCAGAGTATGTGATTAATGTGAATAGTATAGAAATCAAAGTGTTATAACATAATTAGTCACATAGTGGGATACTTGGATATCATTGGATTCATCTTAATGTGTATCGCGTCCGTTCCACAACTATTGTAATGAGTTTCATGCTTCCAAGTTATAACGCGCAACTTTAACCAATATTCCCTCTGTCCCTATTTTTTTTTCACCCCATTTGACTTGACACGGTCTTCAAGGCGCGTTTTGAAACGCATATAACTTCATTTTTATACGAGATTCTATTGTTGAAATAAGAATGATTGAATGAAAACAATTCTACATCAATTAGGCAGCTTAATTTGTTTTTAACCATAATCAATTTATTTTATTAGTGTTATCAGTTAAGTGATTTCTGGGTGCTCACTTTTTTCCACACAGTTTATCAATCAAATAACATCTTTGCTATTTACAGAATGCAATACTTCTATGGACATATGATCCTCCAGAAAGAGATGCGAGACTGATTAATGATGCTTTAAAGGCGAGGAAGAAAGGGGTGAAACATTTGCAAGTCATAGTTGAGGTAGCATGTGCTTCCCCTCATCATCTGATGGCTGTCAGGCAGGCCTACTGTTCCTTGTTTGAATGCTCTGTTGAAGAAGATATCGCGTCAAATATACAACTTCCATTGAGAAAGGTAATTTTTATAACTAAGGGGGCTAAGTCATTAGCTTGAAGTATTGTTGAAACACATCATAATGCCAATGTTATGTACTTACATGAATTATAGAGTTGTATGATGTATGCGATTATGTTCTATTTTAAGATCTTTTATATGACTTATATAAACTAAATGTGGGTTATATTCTGTGTCATTTTGTGGCAGTAACAGTTTGTCTGTTCCCATTGTTATCTACAATTAGGAGCCACATTGTTCCAACTTCCAACCTCAATTTTAAGGATATATTATGATTTTACACCCAAAAAAAAAAAAAAAAACTATTTTAATTCGTAGTTTTTGTGCTATGTGACTTATCTTTATCGTCTTACCATTTGTATTGGCATGTTATTAACTTAATCATTAACCATGACAGTGTAGCAACTTTTTCCGGACATCATAAAACAGAATGTGCGACTAGATACCAAACAATAGGAGTAATATTCATTCTAATATTGTTATGTACTTGGCATCATTGTATCAGTTAGCATGACGCTAGGATTGGATTATTTTGGCTGACTAGTGTTACCTGTATTATGTAGTTTCTTGTGGCTTTAGTGAGCTCCTACAGATATGACAAGGAAGTGGTCGACATGAATGTTGCCAAACTTGAAGCTGCTCACCTTCATGAATCCATCAAAAAGAAGGAATTAGATCATAATCATGTTGTGTGGATTCTTGGAACTCGAAATTTCTTTCAGCTGAGAGCAACATTTGCTTGCTATAAACAGGAGTATTCTAGTACCATTGACCAGGTCACTTTCTTACCTCTGTTTAAATGCACTCAAGGTGATTGAATTTAACCATACAAATTGTAAGAAACCTTTAAACCATTGTCTTTGACAGGATATTTTGAAATGTGGGAACGATGATTTGCAAGCTTTACTGAGAATCACCATTTTGTGCATTGAAAGCCCTGAGAAGCACTTTGCTGAGGTGATTTGATACTCATAACTATGTTATTGTTAATATTTACTGTATGAATGATACAAGTGCCATGAGCCCATGAGAAACATCTGAACTTAATCGGGATAAAAAATATTTTCTCCATTTATTTCTGACTGAAAATCCAATTTCGAAATAATTCTGTGCTACTTAAATTTGGATTGTGACCCTTGCAGACCCTAACGATGGCAGGGTCCATATTGGTTTTTATCCATTTCGTTTAAAACCTATTTGGACTTTATATCCCAGGAATTTGTTTCATAGTACTGATATAAATCAACATATATTCCG